GCTGCCTGAGGAGGAAGGAGAGAGCAACCATCTCTAATCAGAACAATTCATTACCTCTACCTGTACCTTCTGGTTTAGGGAAGAGCTCCACTGTGAGCTGCCTCACAGTGGCAAGCCTTGGCATTAGGCAAGCCACCCAGGGGCAATCAAGATTTAGGCAGTATAGGCAGTGTTTCTTTTTTCTTGAGATGGAGTCCCACTCTGTCGGAGTGCAGTGGTTCGATCTTGGCTCACTGCAACCTCAGGCAGTGTTTTGTTTTGTTTTGTTTTTTTACTTAAACCCTGTCACTGACCTAAGCTGGGTTGATAATTTCACTTTTTAAAAAAAGAAGCATATTAATCCCACTTTTTCTAAAACAATAAAAACTATTATGCTGTGTAAACACCACACCGTACACTTCATTAATTACACTCTAGAAGTTTAAATTATTTCTAAATAGCTGTTTCTAAAAGGGTGCATGGAATTTATAACTGATGACTGGGAAATGTACTGTTTTAACAGCATTAAATATATTCATCTTTATTGTTAGTTAACAATGTTAGCTAGTATTTGAAGACTAGACTGGCAATGTCCCTTTTATCAACCTTTCCTACCACCTGTTTACAGAAGAAATGAGAGGGGTTAAAACTAATAACCCTAAAAATACTGTTATTAATTCAGTAACACCTCTGGAAACTACTTCTTTGTTATAACTAACTCTGGGGACAGTGAAAAGGAAACTATCAAATATAGCAGAACTTGAAATCATGTGGTACAAGGAGATTTAAGTTGGATAAAAAGACCTTGAACATATGTAAACAAGCCAGAAATAAAAGGAAAAACATTATATGATTCAACTTACATGAACCTAGAACAGGCAAATTTACAAAGACTGAAAGTGGATTTGAGGTTATCAAAGACTAGAAGGGCAGGGGAATGGGAAGTAATTGCCTAATGGTTACAGTTTTTGTTTGGGATAATGAAAAGGTTTTGGAAATAGTGGAGATGGTTGTACAACACTCTGACCATAACGAATGCCACTGAATTGTACACTTAATAGTTAATATAGCAAATTTTGTTGTATATATTGAACCAAAAGTTTAAGTTAATGTATACATCCCAAATTGTATATTTTAAATGGGTGAATTATATGGTATGTGAATTGCATCTCAATAAACATCCTTTTAAAAAGAAATTCCTGGCCGGTCGAGGTGGCTCACTCCTGTAATCCCAGCACTTTGGGAGGCCAAGGAAGGCAGATCCCAAGGTCAAGAGATCAAGACTATCCTCGCCAACATGGTGAAAGCATGTCTCCACTAAAAAATACAAAATTAGCTGGGCGTGGTGGCGCGAACCTGTAGTCCCAGCTACTCGAGAGGCTGGGGCAAGAGAATTGCTTCATCTTTCATGTGCTTGTTAGCCACTTGTATCTTTCCTTTAAGGAAAAAAGTCCTGTGCCTATTTTTAAATTGGGTTGTCTTTTTGTTGCTGAATTGTAAGAGTTTTTTTTTTTTTTAATTTTATTTTAAAGACAACCAAGGCAGCCAGTAAGAGTTCTTTATATACTCTGGTTACTAGGCCCTCATCAGTTGAATTACTTGCAAGTACTTTCTTCCATTCTTTTCACTTTCTTGGTAATGTCCTTTGATACACAAAAGTTTAATTTTGATGAAGTCCAATCAGTCTATCTTTCTATTTCATGAAATTTGATCATATCTAAGAATGTGCTGCCGGATAGGCATGATGGCTCACACCTGTAATCCCAGCACTTCGGGAGGCCAAGGCAGGCAAATCACCTGAGGTCAGGAGTTAGAGACTAGCCTGGCCAACATGGCAAAACTCCATCTCTACTAAAGAAATACAAAAACTAGCAACGCGTGGTGGTGGGCGTCTGTAATCCCAGCTACTTGGGAGGCTGAGTCAGTAAAATCTCTTGAATCCAGGCGGCGGAGGTTGCAGTAAGCCGAGGTTGTGCCACTGCACACCAGCCTGGGCAACACAGTGAGACTCTCTCAGAAAACAAAACACAAAACTAGAATGTGCTGCCAAATCTAAAGTCATGAAGATTTATCTGTATTTTTTTTTTCTAAAAGTTTAATGGTATAGCTCTTATAGTTAGGCCTTGATCTAAATAAAAGTATAGGTCATTTGGAGTTCATTTCTGCATATGGTATGATGAAAGACTTCCTTTTTTTCTCTTTTAAGACAGAATCTTACTCTGTCCCCCAGGCTGGAGTACAGTGGCACAATCCCAAGTCACTGCAACCTCCGCCTCTTGGGTTAAAGCAATTCTCATGTCTCAGCCTCCCGAGCAGCTGGGGCTATAGGCATGCACCACCACGTCTGGCTGATTTTTTTTTTTGGAGACAGTTTTGCTGTTGTTGCCCAGGCTGGACTGCAGTGGCATGATCCCGGCTCACCACAACCTCCGCCTTCTGGGTTCAAGCGATTCTCCCGCCTCAGCCTCCCAAGTTGCATGTGCTACCACATTCGGCAAATTTTGTATTTTTAGTAGAGATGGGGTTTCTCCATGTTGGTTAGTCTGGTCTGGAACTCCTGACCTCAGGTATCTGGCTGCCTGGGCCTCCCAAAGTGCCAGGACTGCAGGCATGAGCCACTGCACCCGGCTAATTTTTGGTAGAGACAGGGTCTACGTTGGCCAGGCTGGTCTTGAACTCCTGACCTCAAGTGATCCACCTGCTTCAGCCTTCCAAAGTGCTGGGATTACAGGCGTGAACCACCATGTGCCGGCCTAGACATCTATTCCGGAATATCTATCAGGCCTCTCAAACCCCAACCTGCTCTTCCCAGTCTTACCTATCCAGCAAATGCTCATGTTAAAATTCTTGAAATTGGCTGGGTGCAGTGGCTCAAACATGTTCTAGCACTTTGGGAGACCGAGGCAGGAGGTTTGCTTGAAGCCAGGAGTTCAAACCAACCCTGCCAACATAGATTTTTAAAACCTTGAAGTCGTCCTTGACTTCCCTTTTTCTTTTACAAGCCACCTCCAAACCATTAGCAAAACCTGTTGACTTCACCTTCAAACCGTATCTCAAATTTGCCACCGCCTCCTCTACCAATCTGAATTATTGCAACAGCCTTTTAACTAGTCTTCCGGCTTTCACCTTTGCCTCCCTACAATCTATTTAACCAGCAGCCACTGAGCCTGCTAAAATTTAAGTCTCTTCTCTAAACCATTCAAAGACTTGCTATTTCACTCAGAATAAAAACCATAGTACCTTCCAAGACCTACAATGTCCTACCCTACAAAATTTGCCCCTACCATACACACACCTTTCTGGTTTCATCTTACCTCTCTCCCAGTCCCTCCCCCTGGACTCCTGGCTGCCCTGTCTTTGCACTTACTGTTTCCACAGTCTGGAATGCTGCTGCCCAAGGTTATCTCCATGGCTGGCTCCTTCACCTGGTGTTTGCTCAAATTCACCTTCTTAGTAAGGTCTTCTCTAATCACTCGATTTAAAATAGCAATTGTGCGTCCCTTGGTACTATTTATTCCCCTACCCTCTAACCGTCGCTTATTTTTCTCCACAGTATTTATCATCAGCCGACACACTTTGTATTTTACTTGTTTATTCCCCGACCCCCCTCCAACACCAAAGGAATGTAATCTTCATGACAAAGGACTTCGATGTGTACATCTGTAACCCACATTGCTCACAATAATGCCAAGCACAGAGTAGACCTTCGATAATTATTGAAATAATTAATAAATACTGTAACATACTACATTACAATCCCCTGTTGCTGTACCTGTTCCCTTAATGAACTGAGAGCTTTCTGCAATCAGTAACACGCTTGTTTGCCCATGAATTCCCAGAACCTAACATCTGAGCTCGGCACATAGTAGGCATTGATTTTTGAACCAACAAGACAGGCCATGAAACATCTCGGCCTTTCAAACATGGTCCCTACGCTACCACTCCCTAAATATAAGTCAGTGTGTGGGGGTTATTTCAAGGAAGAAGTTCCAATACCAATTCCACGCCCTCACGCGTACACCCTGTTATACCTACAATAACCAAGTGAGAAAATGAGTAACGGTAACAGCCAGAAAATGAACCTTGAACCGTGCAATGACAAGTCCGAAGGAGAGAGTAGTTGTGACGAAAGAAGGCAGTGGGAATCAAAACAGAAACACCGTCCCGGGGGTGGCGGCAAGGAGAGGGAGGGACCCCGTGGCCACAACCATAGAGTCCTGCTCTCTTTTGACAGCTAAGGAAACTAAAGCCCAGAAAGGAAAACGACTCGCCCGAGGTCACATAGCAAGTGAGCCACGGCGAGAACCCACCGCATCCCGCGTCCGCGGGCAGCCCCAGCTCCCTCACGTTTGGGGTGGTGCCCTCTGCGCCGAGCCCCCGCCAGAGCACGTGCTCCGAGGTCCACTGACGCCCGCCCGCCGACGGCTCGCGGCCGCTTCCCCATCTCGGTCCAAAGCTGGGGTCGACGGCAGTGCGCTGCGCCCCCCTCCCACGCCCCTCTCAGCCCGGGAGCCCGCCTGGGGCCGGCGGCTGGCAGCGCTCACCGCCGAGGTGGGCCCCGACCGCCCGCTCCGCGCCCGCCGCTTACCTGGCCGGGTCCCGCGGGAACCTGAAGAAGGCCAGGTCGGACTGCGTGCTCTTCCGCGTGCAGTTGGGGGCAGCGCAGAAGTTCGGCATCGTCGCCCGCCTGCCGGCCGGCCCAGCCCTCCCCTCCCCGCCTCCTCAGGGCAGTCCGCCCGCCCGTCGGGGCCGGGGAGGGGAGCCGGGCCGGCCGGCCGCCTCTGTAGGGCCGGCGCGCGGGGGAGGGGCTGGCGGGCGGAAAGCCGCGAGGGCCAGGAGGGGTGCCGCGGTCCGAGGCCGGGCTGGAGACGCGGCTCCACAGTGCTGTGAGCGGCCGGGAGGATTTACCGCCGCCGCCGCCGCTGGTGCACCTCCCGCCCGCCCGAGACGCTGCCGCCTCCTTCCCACAATGCACCCTGACGCCCGGGGGTGCCCTCTCTTCCCTCAGCCTTCCTCCCCCGCCCTTCCTTTCCGCCTTATCCGCAGGCGGGCACGCGCAAGGAAGCGCGCCTGCCGGGGTGTGACGAAGCGGAGGCGGGACTTGGCGCGCGTTGCCTCAGTGCGACTGCGCACAACCTAATCCGCGGGGGAAGGGAATTGCGCTTGCGCGCCTGTCTCCCGGGACCCTAAAGTAGGCGAGCCTCTGGCTGCTCCGGTAGGTTTGGCGTGCGCGGGTTTCTGCAGATCTGGGGCGAGCTTGCACGTTACATCACCTATGCACCTCTCCTTGCTTGCTTAAGTTGCCACCACTTAGGCCTTTCTTGCAGAAATCGCCATATACTCTTTAAGGGCCGCGGAATCGGGGCGACCTTGGTGACTGATTGGCAAACTCTCGGCAGATGTGCGTGCACTGGTTGGATGCAGGCGTGGTTGTAGGAGATTTAATTTTTCCAGCTTTGCAACGACTGTTGGCCCTGTTAGCTTCCCAGAACGGATCTCCCTAGTCTCGACTGGAAGCTGAGGGACAAAATCTCAGAAAAGCAATTACTCTTTCCTCACCAGGCTTCTAAAAAAGCAAGAATAGCGATATGATTACACCTATAGTCCTATAGAAATTGATCTGCCTTTCCCTCACAATCGTGGCCTGTTAACGCTCCTGTGTAGTTCAGTGCCAGAATGAGTGACCGCTATTTAGAACAAAGGATTAGTATCAAATTTTGCGTGAAACTGAATAAGTCTGCAAGTGAGACCCACCATCTTTTAAAAGAAGCTTATGGGGATGAAGTCATGTCAAGGGCCAGAGTTTTTGACTGGCACAAAAGGTTTAAAGAAGGACGGGAAGATGTTCGAGATGACGCCCGAAGTGGGCGTCCAGTCACCCACAGGACAGATGAAAATATCCAGAAGGTCAAGGACTTGGTTTGTTCAAACAGGCAGTTAACTGTGAGGATGATGGCTGAAGAGTTAAATTTAGACAAAGAAACTGTTAGGCTCATTTTGAAAGAAAACTTGAACATGAAGAAGATTTCTGCAAAAGTTATTTCGGGTGTTTTGAAGGGTGAGCCTACACCACGAAAACTTGACTTTCAGTCGGATCTTTCAAAGGAAACTAGGAAAAATAGCTTATGTTTGAGGAAAAAGGTAACAGATTCTGAAACATGGAGTCATCTCCAGGGTGAAGCTGGTGGGGAAATGCCCCTGCCCGTATCCCATCCCAGAGTCCACTACCCTGCCAGCCAGCTTCTTCAGGCCTCATCTTCAACAAGCCTTCCCCCCAGGGTAGCTGAGAATTGGTTCACCCCATGGTGAGAGGAACGTGAGTTAGCTGAACCAGAACTAGGAAGCTGCCTTACTGTTAGGCACCTTCTTTGGCTGCTCACCTATTTTCAGTCTTTGCCACTCCTCCCTATATGTCATGGCCCTCCCCATTACTCTTTGCTGGACTGTTGGACCATCTTCCTTGCTCTTCTCCACAACTTTGAAGAACTTCTGGCTGTTGCCTTCTGGTACTTGCTTGTTCTTGATTTCTTTTTGCTCAACAAGTTTGGATTTCTTCTCTGCCCAGCCCTTAGCTTGTTGTGGCAGTCCTGTTCCTTTGTTCTCAACATTCTGCCTCAGAGGATCATGCCAGTGAGAAGTGAGGAACAGGATCTCCTGGAATCTGTATCTCTGTGCCCAGGGAGGCATGCTGTTCTGGGAGGACCCCAAAAGAAGGCTTATAGCTTCATCCTGCTTCGCAGTCAGGGCCTGAGGTATGGTACAGAAGGCAGTGGGATGCTGGTACTACTGAGCAGTGCTGGCCCAAGGGGCTGATCTGGCCCAGATGACTCAGTGGGAGCGCCTTAGGAATCAGGGGTTGGCCACCAATACTGATCTTCTCACAGGCCTACACCTCACAGAAGAGCTGGGTTTGCTTCATTCTAGTCCTGTGCTTTGGACCCCCATTCATTTGGATATCTCCTCTGCTGGAAGAGGAGGATCTGGTCCTAGAAAATATAAACCTGGGGACCCAGGCCTAAGCTGTGATGTGTGGGGAGGAAGACCAGGTGATTCTATAGACCCTGGATTAAGGGAGCCTGCTGCCTGTGTGTGGATTCCCATACAGCAGCCTGTTTTTAGTAACTATTGCCTATAGTTTTGAGAACTTGTTGTTTTTAGAACACTGCTGGACATTGACAATGTGGAAGTTATAAACAAGATCTCCAAGGGCTGATGGGCTTCTCATGGATGAGATGGTTCTCGAACTGGATCCATGAGGATGGGTATGACAGGGGACTGTGAAATTAGAGAAAGCAGGTGGAACAGCATGAGGCATCGAACCTCCATCAGTAGAAAATGATGACACAGTTGGCTAAAATAGCAAAGTTTAAAGAGGAAGATAATAGTGTTGCAGTGGATGAACAATTTGGGATAGTTTGCTTACTCTCCTATGCCTCCAACTCTATGCCAGTTGTTGATAAATTGCTTCTCCTGAGTCTGTGAATTGGTTTGTAACAACCAATTTGATATCTGATTTTTCAGTCGGAACCCCCAACAAGCAGATTCTGCAAGTTCAAACTCATTCATTTCTTCTCTTCCCGCCTTTGCCAGGATTTATGGAATGGAACTTTTCTCAAGTGGGCTCCAAGTAATACCACATAGACTAGTAACATTCAGGGGGCAGGAGTTTGGTAACAGCATTTCACAGAATTGGCCAGTGTCTGTTTTACTCAAGGATTTTTACGTATACCGCTCCTCTTAAACAATATTGCTTGAAAGTAGAGGCACAACACTTCCTTATTCATCACAGTTACTTTTAGTTCTGTTCTTTCATTTTCTCTACTCACCTGCAAAAACTACAGGTTCCTCATTAACACCTGTTCTTGTTGTGGTTGTTGTCGTTGTTTTGTTTTTTGAGATGGAATCTTGCCCTGCTGCCCAGGCTGGAGTGCAGTGGTACAATCTTGGCTCACTGCAACCTCCACCTCCTGGGTTCAAGTGATTCTCCTGCCTCAGCTTCCCAATTAGCTGGGATTACAGGCATGCACCACTACACCCGGTTAATTTTTGTATTTTTAGTAGAGACGAGGTTTCACCATGTTGGCCAGGCTGATCTCGAACTCCTGACCTCAGGTGATCCACCCACCTTGGCCTCCCAAAGTACTGGGATTACAGGCGTGAGCTACCACCCCTGGCCAATGCCTGTTAATTCTGAGGCACCTTGAAAGCTAGACCTTGTCCCACAAAGAGAAGATACTATATAAGAACTCTTAAACCAAGCCGCAGCTTATAGACCTTCAGCTCCTTAACTGTTTCTAGACATTCCATTTCAGGACCATTAAGTCTTCCTACATCAGATGTGGCTCTGGGTTGCCCGCAAGCACTTGGCACCACGGACACTGCACTTTAGGAACAAAGTCCCCACCACTAGTTCTTGCAGCTTTGTTGCTGAAAGTTATATTAATCCTTGCTGAGGCCAACCCAGTGGTAATTGCTGCAGATTTATATGCTTCTGGACCCAGGCCAGGATCCCACAACCCTGCCTGCAGGCATTGCTTCTAACCTGTTATAACCCAGAGGTCCTGAGACATCTTACTTCTGGGTTTGATTCCAGTCCTATGAACAGTGCTGGTGTGTCCCTGCCAGTGATGCTGGACCAAGACCCTTGCTGGAATATAGAGTACCAAAGCTATGCTGGTTCAGACATGGTTTAGACTCAGCAACCAGAAGCAGGTAATCAGGAGTGTGAATTCAAATGCTTCCAGGTGGCTGTAATGAAAAGGACTTATCCAGAGCAAACTGTTCACATTTGACTGCTCAGAATCTCTAAACCCAAGGGTAGAGCATGATCTAGGCATCCCCAAACAGGAAAGTTCTTATATGAGTACTCCTAATGTGCTCACCTACCAAATCCGTTTTGTTGCTGATCTACGTTTTGCCCTGGCCTACACCTTGCTACCTAGGCCTGTTGAGCTCCTGGTCCCATAGTCTCACACATCCAGCTATGTGTCTGTCATACCCCAGGCTCCCCTTAAAACAGCCACCTCTCAATTTATTATCCACCAGTTTGCTCTTACTCCTCTATTTCCTTGTTGCTTTGTTTTCTGGTCCCGGGTCACACCTTCATTAGCTGCTTTTGGTCACTTTGGTGTGCTGATCCTCAATAGACCTTTGGGTCATGGTTTTCCATTTAACTTACAACTCTTCTCTCTGATTTTTTGCATCCTTCTTCCAGCTCCCCACTTTAGCTGCTGAGTAAGGAAATTGTCTGCTCTAGCCCTGGCCCCAGGTTGCCTTCGTATCCTCAAGAAGCATGGTGGGGCAACATGGGGGGATGACGTGTTGATTTGTTTTTTTGTAAGGGGCATGAGCAGGGAAAGCTACCTCTCACCCGTAGCCACCATCAGTTGCACTCCCCAGAGGCACCCAGTATCAGCAGTTTCTCAAGGAGGCAATTTGGTTACCTCTGGTACCAAGAGTCATAAAACTTTTTCAGAGCTATAACATCCAAAGCCCATTATCCTAGCACCTGTATTTTCCCTGGCAGGAGAAGCTCCACCTAACCACAGGAGATCAAGCCTGGCTTTCTGTGGGATGTCAGGAAGAGAGCTGGCCATCTGCAAACTTTCTCAAGCTTAGCACAATTGGTCAGTGACTCTGTTTGACTTTTAGGTTGATCTTTGTCCCCACCCCCACCCCCATCCTAATTCAGAGTTCACATGGAATGTTTTATGCCACTGCTAAGAAAGAAATATATGCCTTCTGGGACAGATCATCCTATCACTGATTTTATGCAATTCTCCCCTTCCATCACCCCACCCTACCTTGCTCCATTTGCCCCACTAGTATTGATCAAAAAGAGAAAGAATAAGATGTTCACCGAATCTGTAACTTAGAAAAACATGTGGATGGTTCTGCTGTCTTCTGAATTCTGACCCTGACTGAGTCTTCAATGAAATGTTACCATTTGGGAAGAATGTTTACCTGGGACCTCCTTCCCAGAACCTTTCTCTCAGATCCATTTTTTAGTCAGTCTATACTTGCCTTTGGAAATGCCTGGATGCTAAATGACTTGAGGACACCTAATAAAGGAATGGGGTACTATTGGGGAATTGTCTGTCATTATGTTACAAATGCTGCTCAGCTTGCCTGCTATTTGCAGACATCATCACCAGCAAGTTTCACTAGGCTCTTTGGGATTGGGTCTCAGCAGGGTCCCATGTGACTCAATAAGAGCCTACCTTTGCTGCTAAACTATATGATATCCTGCCTTCTCCAATTGCTTCTTCTTCAATCAGCCCACCCAGATTTTACCAGGTGTTTATATCTTTTCTGAGACAACCATCATGTATTTATGTTCTTCAGCGTCTCCCCTTATCAGATCCTTGCAAACGTCATCCTAGTTGTATCACCCCTCTCCCTGTATTAATATCCAGAAACAAAAAAATCTGTATTGGGGAGCTATAGTACCTCCAGGTACTCACTTGGGTATAGCCCAAGGGTCAACAGACTTCTGTAAAGGAGTCTTTATGGGCCAGATGGTCTCTTTTTCCACTACTCAGTATTTTAATGTAAAAGCAGGCATAGCTGATACAGAAACGGATGAGCATGGCTGTTTCCAATAAAACTTTATAAATGGATACTGGAAATTGAATTTTATGTAGTTTTTACAAAATACTATTTTGATTTTTTTTTTAAATCCCTTTAAAAATGTTAAAAAGAGGCCAGGAATGGTGGCTCACGTTTGTAATCCCAGCACTTTGGGAGGCCGAGGCAGGCAGATTACCTGAGGTCAGGAGTTTGAGACCAGCCTGGCTAACATGGTAAAACCTTATCTCTACTAAAAATACAAAAATTAGCACGGTGTGGTGACGTGTGCCTGTAATTCCACTACCCAGGAGGCTGAGGCAGAATCGCTGGAACCTAGGAGGCAGAGGCCACAGTGATCCGAGATCTCACCACTGCACTCCAGCCTGGGCAACAGAGCAAGATTCCATCTAAAAAAAAAAAAAAAAAAAAATTGAAAAGAAATTTTTAGCTTTTAGGCCATAGAAAAACAGATGGCAGGACAAATTTGGCCCATAGGCCATAGTTTGATACAAACCCTGGTCTAATGTATACATAAAAATGACAGATGATTGATTATTTTCCATCAATAACATTAATGCCACATTGATCTGGCAGTGTCTAACAATTTATTATGTAGAAATTGTGGCCTAGGCACAGGAGTTCATGTCTATAATCCTAGCACTCTGGGAGGCTGAGGCAGGCAGATTACTTGAGGCCTGAAGTTCAAGACCAACCTGGGCAATGTGGTGAAACCCCTGTCTCTAAAATAAATACAATAATTAGCCTGGCATGGTGACACTTACCTGTAGTCCCAGATACTTGCGGGGCTGAGGCAGGAGGATCGCTTGAGCCCTGGAGGTCCAGGCTGCAGTGAGCCATAATCATGCTACTGCACTACAGCCTGGGCGACAGAGTGAGACCCTGTCTCAAACAAACAAAAAAAGGAAATTATGGAAAATTGGAGGGAATCTATAGAGCCAGGAGAGTAAACTAAAGCTGAATGATTGGCTGTTTTACCTTGAACACATTCTGGTTCACAAAATAAATTTTGTGCTTGTTTTTGACTGAAAATGACATTATAAAACCACCCATATTATTCCCTAAATATCAAAACCAGTGTTGGCAACACAAACTGATGCCAAGTTGCAACCAACAATAATAGAATGAACTGAAGGTAGTCCCAAAAATGCTTTGCCCATGGGCAGCATTTGAACAACCTTATGTTACTGCCTATTAAAGGGTGTACTATGGAGATGACAAAACTCACTGAAGTGTATTTTTTGCATGCTTGCAAATATACATATGTATTACAGATACATATGTGTATTTGCACCTTGCAACTGGTGCTGAGATGCGTCCTTTTAGGTAAGTATATTTGTTTTTCTCCTAGAGAGCTCTTTATTGTGTCACCTTTATTTAAACTGATTTTCCAAAGTTGTAATACAATCTCAGCATTGAACAGACCTTTACAAGAGTGTCTGATCCAGCCAGTCATGTTTCCTATGGATTCAGGAGTAACTAAACCCTACAGCTGGTGAAAGATTTGCATCTGAAAGAAGATTCTGTGTTAATTCACTCAACAAATTATTATTGAGTGGCTGTATGTGCCAGACGCTGTCTTGTGTGCCAGGATACAGCAGTGAACAAAATAGACACAGGCCTTGGATTAGATGGTCTGAAATCTAATTATATTACTTTTTACTCTTGCAAAATTTGTTCTGTGTGCACACAGTAACCCATTGTTAACTGCATACCTGGAAATAGGTATGACCATTGCCACATGCCTTTGT